AGCATGATGTCCTTCTCCAAGGACCGTCTCTCTTCACAACATGTCCAAAGTATGCTAGAATGAGCCTCAGAATCCTTGCCTCTGAGGAGCCACCCAGTTTTACCCTTTCCAGGATGAATCTGTTTGTTTTCCAGGCCTCTGAGGCTGTAAATTTTAACAGGAAGAAACCACATATCTTTCTTCCTTACCAGCAGCTGCCAGATTCAAACTACTGATCTACAGGATTATCAGTATAAAGCACCACCTGAAACATCTAGCTTTTTAAAAAATTATCTAAAATTCTAGTAAAATTAAATTCATTTTCATAAAACAAAATATAATCCTGAAATCACCACAGAAAGTGCAAGTGGAAAAAAATTTTGTAATAAATAAAAATACTTAGAATGAAATATAAATTTCTTAAATTATGTCAGATTTCCCATTACTAGATCATCCTTTAATTTTTGTATAATAAGGTGGCACTGATTGAAAACTTTTTGAACAGTTTAAAACAAAAGCCTTTTCTGGGACTGTTAAAATTATACTCTTAAGTACTCGCTATTCTAAGATCTGATCAATAAAAGTTTATTTATAGTGCTCTAGTTAATTTTAAAATAAATATATATTTATTAAAGGGCAAAAGCTATAAACACATTATAAATGTATTAATCCCAAGACATTTTTAAATGGAGAAAGAAAAGTGTAAAAAGTAGAACTGTATTTTCCATTTTAGAATAACAAATTCTAAATGTTTTCCTAGAAACTTAAATAAAATCCTTAAGGCAGTACTAAAGATTTGGAACTTTTATTGATTAATGCAGAACAGAACTACTAATACACTTTTACAAAACAAAACTGACAGTTCTTTGTTCTTTTTTTAATATTTGGGATTAGGAGAAATATTTGAAAAGTATTTTTTTGCAATCATAATTTTATATCCTGTTAATTTCTATGCATAAACTTTTATAAATTATAGAATTTTATATAATGTCATCATATAAGACTACTAGATGGTACAGAAATTTAAATAACTAAGATTTACCAGAGTGTATTTATGATTAACTGGTTGGTGTCTTCTCCCTTTTTTCCCATACCAAAGGCGAGACATTTCCTTTCCCAGGCCAATTTTCATCAAATCACATAAGAACTGTTTTTAAATGCATTCTTCTGTCAAACAAAAATTTCCAGCACAAGAGCACTACTACTGTGACAAAACAGTTTGCTAGAGACAAAGATTTGATTGACAAGACAAAGAGCTAATCACTTAGTAGGATCCATTGCAAAGACAGATCTGAATGGAGAATGCAAAGCTCGGGAGGGAAAAGAGGGTTTCCCAAGCCTAAGTTTGGTTGCACGGTACCCTAATGTGCAAAAAAGAACTCAAAAGTTTAAAGATACAGAGCATATATTTAACACTGGTACATAAAGAAATATAACAGCGGTATTACAGTCACCCAGAGTCATAAATATGGTTTTCAGAGCCCCTTCTGAAATATCAAATGTCACCCGTAAACTTTGTTCAGCCGTAAAATTTTGTTCTTTACAATCTAAGAATCATGTGAAATTCCCCTTTTCTGTAATCTGTAAGCAATAAGATATTCTTCAGATTACACGGTTACACAAAAACCCAATCTAGTCTATAACAAGTACAATACATAAAGTTACTGGAAAGTCTTTCCATTTTTAGCATGCATTTTCAAATATGGAAAAATACTTATGTTCATGATTCCTATGTAAATCATGTATACAGAGGTGCTGCACTGGAGAAAATAGGCTGTCAAATACCTCTCTCAATTCCAAAAGAGCAAGGGGCAAGGCTGTCAGTTTAAGGACTAAAGCACGCCTGATATAGACCATGGTATTTTCTTGTGCTTCATAAGCATCTGAAAATTGAACAATGAGGAAGGATGGCAGAAGAAGGACCTAGGCCTTGCAATTATGGCATTGATGAAAAGTATTGAACATTGCATAGACTGCCAAAAGAACCAATACCTTCTCGGAGAAGGTGTAACAAGGGTGCTCCTTAGAGGCAAGGATAACATTTTGCCACAAATGCACAATTTGGGCATCTTGCCAGGAGGGGCCAGTTCTTGGACAAGGACATCATGTTTGGAAGGTTAGAGATCTATGTAGGAGAGAAGACCCTGAATAATATGGACTGACACAACATCTGTGGCCAAGGGGGTCAGCTGTCAGAGACAGTGAGGTTGCCTCAGGACAGGGAAAGTTCATCAGGCTACTCTGAGTCTTAGTCTACTCAATGTATATAACAATAATGATCCCTTCTTGGAAAGAGACATCAAGCTAGGAAAGAAAGAAGGTCAGAGAGAGAGAGAGATGCTTAATGAAAAAGATTAGAATAGTTTCAACCATGGCCTTGAGCATGATGGAGATGTTGAGATGGTACAGGGCAGAGAAAGGTCCAGATCTGCTGTTTACCGGGTCACTTCATATAATCAATCTCATCAAACAATAATATGCTGAATCTAATCAAAGAAAGGCTTTAATAAAGGTACACATCTTTAGTCACATCAATTACTAACTGTGAATTAGTTGTGTAATATTAATTGTTCATCTTAAATGCAGGAGTAGCATCCACTTCCTAAATAACATGCCTCCAGTAAACCTATGAACTTTGATAATTGAGGGGCTTCAAGCCTTTTGTTCATAGGGTCGCTATGAGTCATGCTCAACTCCAAGGCAATCAACAACAACAAATGCAGAGCTCATAGATTTTTCTTTTAACATATGTAACCATCCTGGAGAGGGTTAAACCAGGCAGCTCCTTGGAGGCAAGGATTCTGAGGCCTGGTCTGACATACTTTGGACATGTTGTAAGAAGTGACTGGTCCTTGGAGAGGGACATCACGCTGGATGGACAGCGCAAGAGGGGAAGGCCTTCTATGAGGTGGGTTGATTCAGTGACGTGGGTATTCGAGATGGGTGTATAGGAGACAGTGTGATTGGGACAGGACAGGGCAGAGTTTAGGGCTGTTGTACATAGGGACGCTATGAGTCGCAAGTGACTCGACAGCACATAACAACCACCACCACCTATGTTTCTCCAGTACTTCATAAAGTTTTACTTCCTACTCCTTAGTTATTCCACTAGCTTCAAGTAAACACTAATCTGATATACTTTAAATGAATTTTACTGTTTCAAACTTCATGTAAGTGAAATTATACAGTATATACAGTATGTACACTTTTGTATTTGCTGCCTTTAACAAAATACACGGAGATTCACCATGTTTTTGCTTGCACCAGTAGGTATTTTTTAATATACTAAAATATATTAGTCAATTTCATCAACACATCAAAATTTATTTATGCATTCTCCTTCTGATGAGCATTAAAGTGGTTTTGAATAAAACTGATGTGAAAGTTAATAGCTAGTTTAATTATAAATAAGCCGGAAACAGAATACTCAATAAAAGTTATTTCTCTCCCTTTATCTTTATTGTATTTATGTAGAAACCAATGTAGTATATGCTACACAGAATGAAATTAAGATACATTCAAAATAGAACTCACATCTTAAACAAAAAACATGCCATGTACACCTTCAATCATTATACATAGTAAGTACATGTATAATGTGTTCATACTATATAAACAACCACAAACAGTAACACCAAATGGAGACAACAAAAATTACTCCCATCCATTATCACATTTTAGCATCTGCTCTATATTTTTGGTGTATCAAGAAGAGATTAATCCAGGCAACAAGAACCAAAACCATATATTGGTATGCTACCAATTCCACAAGACAGTCAAAACACACAAAATGTTATATATAACTTTAAAATTCAGACCTAATAGGGGTTTAAATATTGATTAGTATTTTCTAAGTTTGAGCACATACAATTTTTATCACTTTGTAAAATTTGCCTTACCTAAATTTTCTAACATTATGGCTAAAATCCCATCAACACAACTGGAGCGTGCTGAATTTAGAAAAGGAGAGCTAATTCACTGGTATGTATTAAACTATTGGTTTATCATCTCCACTGCAGAGATGGAATTAGAATAAAAACTGATATCAATGACTTAATGAAACTCACATAGTAGTGACTAAAATGATTTTTTTCTTTGATGAAATGTGACTCTTCTCTAAACTAAACAGCATAAAGTACATACAATATAAGTTTTTCATTACCTGTAGGTTGCTTTTCCAGGATTTTCAAGCAAAAGCAGAATGGCAAAGAGGTACAAACTAAAAATTACTATTCAAATTCATTAAGTAAGCATCTCTTTATATATACAGCTAGATAGATATGATTAGTTTAATACACTGAACCTTTAGAAAAATTATCCTTTTGAACAAAGATTTCTGCACTTGACTCTATTGCCCTAAAACTACAAAACCGTTCAAAGTAAAAAGATGAAGGAAATCTTAGCTTTTTCCTCCTTACCTCCCATTCTCTGGCTGCTGCTTCACTAGTTGAATCTTCATTTGATTCAGACTCTTCAATCTTTTTTACTACTATGAATCCAGGTTCTCTAGTATATTCACCAGTATCTTCTGCATATATTTCTGGACTCCACTGTATAAAAAAGGCATACAAGTGGTCTGTCCTATTAAAGAAAAGTGACTGACTGTTAATAACAATATCCTGTGTTATTAGCTAGAATTCCAAATTATGTTTATAAATACCATAATAAAACTCAAATCATTTTTATAATTTTCATCATTGTTGAGAATATAGATAGGAAAATGTACATGAATCCACTATATCTACACAGACAAGTCTCTATAAAACACTGGTTAGAGTGGAGGTACCCAACCACTCTCATCCTCTTTTCTGGGTTGGTCCTCTCCTGCTAACATAAACTTACTGGTGTCTAAGGTTTCTTTTTAAAAACAATTCTTTGATTTAAAGATTACAGAGCAGACAGTTATTCTATTAAATCCTCCATGACACTGATTACAAGCCCCACATTATATCATCACTCTTCTCACTATGTCTTGGTGGTTCTTGTTTCCACTTATCCCTCCATTCTCTCTCTTTCAATATGTTCCAAGGGTGTTGCGTTTTACCCTTGGACAACTGTTGCACTTGTAAGCCCGTGTGGTTGAGTGCTCTAAGTCTCTAGCTGGTATTATTGTTCACTTTACAGATGGGTCTATTGCAGGGTTAAAAGTTACAAGACAGGGGTAAAATTAAGTTCTAAGCTCAAAGGTTGGCCATATTCCATACTCTTGGGAGTTCCACCAGTTTCTGTCAGCACAATATTGTCATCTGGAATTGTGCTCTACCTTTACCTCCCCCTCCCTCCATCATCTTCCACAGTGACCCCTTTCAGGGTGCTTAAGAGAGGTAAATAGGAATCACCTAGTTGTTCTGGTCTCAGGTTTGTGATAGCTTGAGGCTATGTATCAATTATTTCTATAAGGCTTTCGTTTTCTTCACTTCAGAGAGTGCACAATGGCTGGCCACTCACAAGCTGTCAAGTCCCCAGTGATTACTCACCATTTTAGAGTATAGAACACTGCTCAATTATGCCAAATGACCTTGGTATATAGCTCCCCATAATTGTGGACCAATGACTCATTCCCTTAGGTATTTGGCTAAGGTCCTATGCAAACTTGTGGGTGGCTGTTGTCATTTTGTTATCATCTAGACAGCACTTAGAAGAAAATGATGCTCAAGATAGATGTATATTCATACATACATACTCATAAACACACGCACGTGTGTGCGCACGTGTGTGTATTTTGCTGCTGTTGTTAAGTGCTGTCGAGTCGCAGGCGAATCATAGTGACCCAATGAATGAAAGGCCTGAATGCTTGTATAACTTCCATCCTTCCTCCAGGTTCATAGGGTTTCCAGAGGCAAGCTATTATAGAAGTGAATGACACACCTGCTTCCAAGCCTGTTTTAATTGGGGAGCTCCACCAAACATTGTAACAGTGTTCAGCTTCAGAGCAACCATAAGTTAACTCTGTACAGCAAGTGGACAGACTGGGGCTATATAATCTAGAAGAATGTTTCACCAAAAACAATTAAAAACAAGCCTGAGGGCCACGGATTAAAGCCATCCATCATCAAATTGGCAATGACTCCTAGCTGACCCTCCAACAGGTTTTCAGATGCAGTAAACTGCAAAGGAAGTGACTGTCCTACCTTCAGTGGAACAGAGCTAGTGAATGTGAACCCAGCATGACTTTGGGTTGGCAGCACAAATCATGAGCTACCAGAGCTCCTTGGTGTATTTTAGCTAAGCTAAACTACTGTTTGATTTTAAGGAGACTTCAAGGGACAGTACTGGTTTAAATTTTAAAGATTATCTTAGGGCAATATTATCAGGTAGCTCCCTTGGCTCCAGAGTTTGCTTTTCTGTGCTTCATATTTTACTCCTTCTGCTAAGTATTATTCTATTGAACAGTTTATCAAAATATTCAGTGACGACAGCTAGGTACATTCTAGTTCTGGTCTTATGGCAAAGGAGGCAGCCAGCCACACACACATTATATATCCTGCTATTGCTGACTCTCACCTTTCCTCTGTCCCTTTAGGCAAATAAGAGATCAATCGCTGGATGGCTGTGGAGAACATACTAATTAATATCTTAACATACTACCTTGCTCTAAACTCTTTTAACTAAGATTCTTTACTACTAGACTGGTTGGTACACATTATTTTATAAAAAAATCAAACAAAAAAGAACAACAAAATTGGAAATGAGATAAAGTGTATGAAATAGAAGCTAAATGATTTATAACAGATATTGTAAGGTTTTAATTATAAACTCTCTTTTACCAATACTGTCACTCATGTAATAGGATATACAGTTTACTTTAAGATATCTGGGAAATTCTCTACGGGGTGTGCGCATGCACATGCGCGTGCATATGCGTGTTTACCTTTCTTGTGGTACAGCAAACCAGTATTCATGTTTCTTATCTCTCTGTGCATACTGCTGCATTGTTGCACTTGCTTGAGAAACAAATGTTTTCCTCATTGGTTTTCCAACTCTGAGACATAAAAATTTATGTAATCGATGTCTTCTCTTTTCTTTTACAAGTGTAGGACCTAGAATTCAGAAGCAAACTTGGTTAATTTAATACTCATACATCATATTTAGATAATATATATTAGGTAATATTTTATTTAAAATATTACAGAACAAAATTCAATTTACTGACAAAAAATTAGTGAATTTGCTTATGCAATTTGCATTTCTTTTTCTTTCAAAGATAAATTCCCACGAATAAGAAGACTGGGCTAAACAAGACTAAACTTACTGAAGTAAAATTATGACTAGGAATAGTAGGGGGAAATATAAAAGCTTCTGAAGTATTTGTAACAACTATATTAAAAGAAACCTTTACATTTTCTACAAACTTATTTAAATGTTGTTATAAGAAGCTAATAAATGACTGGAGAGACTTGTATACAGAGATGTGTAATTTCACAATGAATTGCTATGTATGCCTTTATTACGATATCATAAGGCTGCCTTATCTCTAATTCAGGAAAACGGAAGATCCTCAATAAGACTGCCTGACACAAAGACTACAGTAATGAGCTTGGACACATCAAAGAGTGACAGTGAAGATGGTACAAGATCAGGCCAAGGCTTCAATGTGTTATACATGGAGTATGGGGAGGTTTGCTGACTCAATAGTATCCAACAAAAACACAACTTCCATCTTCTAAACTGGAGATCTGACAAGGCGACTGAATTCAGAAAACTGGACATTCATTAGGTTGTGAAGATTACTGTATGGAAAAAGTAAGCCATCACAGAATACAAAGTACATAATCTATCTGAGCCCCAGCTGTTGGCTATGGCAAAAGGAGGAAGCCATTACCATCATTCCCATCGCTTCATTGAACTGTTTCATTTAATTTCAGTTTTATGATATTACAGTCACTAAATATGAGAAGGCCTCACTTCCTTTAGTGAAACAACATTCCGCCCTGCAGCTCACCCATTCCAGCCAACACCTTCTGTGGAACCAGCTCCAGTAGATGACTTTCAAACTGGTCTCCTGTGCCATGCTGCCTGTGCTAACGGATTTTTAAATAGAAGGCCTTATCACAAATGCCTCACTTCCCTTAGTGAATCAACATTCCACCCATCAGCTCACCCATTCCAGCCAACAGCTTCTGTAGAACCGAAACGGCTTGCCTCTGGAAACTCTATGAACAGCGCTCAGGTCTTTCGTTCACAGGGTCACTATGAGTCATCTAGGACTCCACGGCACTTAACAACAACAACAAATATCAGAAATTTGGACATTTTCCTATCTCAAATTACTTAAAATGTTACTGGAAATGAACTGTAAAGCACACACTCACAAACATAGAGATGATTATTTAAGTGTGTTCATGATGATTTTCTCCTTTGCGGATGTGTTAGTGTCACTTGGATGTCCGACTCAGAGCTCCGTGAGGACCAAGGAAACACTCATGCCAGCCTCGTTGTCATCTCTGCTGCGCTTAAGGCTGCGGCTGGATCCTGTGTCAACACATCCAGCTTTCTGTGCAGCTTCCTCTCTACTTTTCCAAGGGCTCCATTCTTTTCCCGGAACTGGTTTCCCTTGATAACATGCCCAAAGCATGTGAGAAACACTCTCACATCCCTCTTTCTAAGGAGCACAACGACTATACTTCCTCCACGACAGATCTATTTGTTGTTTCGGCAGGCCACGGCCAATATTCTTCTCATGGCACAATTCAGTGCTATCAATCCTTCTTTGGTCTTCCTTATTCACTTTTTAATTCAACTTTCAGATGCGTATGAAGCTATTACAACACTATAGTCTTTAAAAATAGAACTCTGCTGTTGAGCATCTTAAAGGTCTCAGCCAGCAGCAGATTAGCCCAATGTAATGTGTCTTCATTTCTTGCCTGCTGCTTCCATGAGTGTGGACTGTAGATCCAAGCCAAATGAAGGCCTTGATAAGTTCAGTCTTCTCTCCATTTATCACAATGTTACCTTTTCCTACAGCTGTGAGGACTTTTGTTTATACTGAGGTACAATCCATACTGGAGGTCTCTGGCCTTCTTCAGTAAATGCTTCAAGTCCCCTTCACTTTCATTAAGCATGCCATCTGCATGCTGGTCAATTGTTGGTGAGCTTTCTCAATCCTGATGCCACACTGCTCTTCATATAGTCCATCTTCTGGAATTATTTGCTCAGCATTGTAAATTAACAGCTATAGTACAAGGCTACAACTCTGATGCATCTTTCCTGATGTTAACCAAGCAATATTCTCCTTGACTTGGCCAAATGACTGGTTTTTTTTGGTTGATGAGTAAGTTCCATATGAGCACAATCAAGTATCCTGGAAGTCCCATTATTCTTAAAATTATTACTAATTTTTCATGATCCACATAGTTGAATACCTTTGCACAGTCAATAAAAACATGTAAGCATCTTACTAGTATTCTTAGCTTTTGGTTAAGATCCATCTGAACTCAGCCACGATGCCCCTTATTCCACAGCCTGAGTCCAGCTTGAATTTCTGGAAATTCTCTTTAGAGGTACTGCCTCCATACCTCCAATTATGCTACTCAGCAAGACACTGCTCACTGATTTCCACGTTACATTGGGTCACAGAACATAATTGCTTTTTTGGCGTGGACACATCTGTCTTCCAGTTGGTTGGCACGATATCTGTCTTCCAAGTTTCTTGTCACAGAAGAGTGAGCACATCCAGGGTGGCATCTGCTTACTGAAATGCTTCAGTTGGTATTCTCAATTTTTGAAGCCTTATTTTTTACCAAAGCTTACAGTGCAGCCTTGATGTCTTCCTTCAGTGTTACTGGTTCTTGTATGCATGTTCCCCTCCTGAAATGATTAAGCACCGGTCAATTACTTCTGGTATAGTGACATAGTGACTCTATGTATTCTTATTTTGATGATCCCTAGTCATATTCTGCCCATTCAGTCTTTCAATGTCGCAACTCAAAATCTGCAGTTTTTTCTTCATTATCTTTGAACTTGAAATGTTCAAAGTGTGTTCTTCCCTTTTGGTTTTCTAAGTCTAGGTCATTGTAGATCTTATTATAATATTTGGCTTTGACTTTTAAAGCTGTCCTTTGAAATACTCTGTGGAACAGACCATTTCTTTGTAACCAAGTTCAAACAAAAGCTGAAGAAAATGAAACAGGTTTACAGTGTTAAAACAGGACTCTAAACTGTAACCCTGAACTGAGAAATTAACTGAAGAATAAATCTGGTGCACTGAGCACTAATGACTGAAGAACAGACTAGTTGTGAGATGACGTCATACATAAAGAAAGCAAAAGCTCACTAAAAATATGGGGGGGGGCTAAGTGGATTTCAGAAGAGATTCTGAAACGTGCTCTTTTTAAGTATTTGCTCAAAACAGAACCTATCTGCTCCGCAGATCCTTCCATATATGCCCATAACCAACTATAATATACTGAAACAAAATCCCTCATTTTATGTTATTAAAGGTCTCAATGTATAAAACAACCATAAGGTCTACAATATTGAATTAAAATAATCACTTAACATTTTTTACACTACCAGAGATGATAAATATTTTGGGAAGTTAAATAAATTATTAAACAATAATATTTTCAAAATATAGTAACTGGAGTAATGAGGGAAGGTGTGTCGAAGTCAGTGAGACTGACTCAGGACAGGGCAGGCTTGCTGCGGTACACAGAGTTGCTATGAATCACGGCGGACTTGAAGGAACATAACACCAACATAAGGACACGGAAAATGTTCATGACAACATGTTATGTCAAAAGCAAGACACAACTATGTATGCAATATGATCCTGATATTATATAAACAAAAATAAAGACATAAATATCAAAATCATATACACACATACAGATGTACAAGGATAACAAATCAATCCTCATAACGAAATTTAATCCACTACAAATAATTTCTTACTTAGAACAATCCTGTCTACAAAATATCGCTGAATATATAGAATGCAATAAAGTGTAAATCAGAAAGTCTTTTTCTAGCACTGATGCTCATCCCAGTACCCTATGTACACTAGCAAACAAATAAAAACAAGCTAAGTGTCCATCAATGGATGAATGACAACAAAAACCATGACACAAACAAACAACTGAGTACTATGCATCATGAAAGAAAATAATGACTCTAAGAAATACTCAGTAACACTGAGGAACCTGGAGGAAATTTTGCTGGACAAAATTAATCATAAAAGATCGAGTATTGTATAAGACTACTCTGGTGGCCCTGTAATAGGAAGCTGTGCTGCAATACGAAAAACACATGGTTCAAATTCAGCAGCTGCTCCACACGAAAAGGATGGGCAATCTCATCCAGTGTGAACTACTGCCTCTGAAAACCTGCTTGTGGGTCAGCTGTGAGTTAGTTCCAACTCAAGGGCATACAACAACAACAACAACTACAATTACGAGAAAAAGGGTAGTAAGCGGTAAGAAGGTGCACTCACTGTCTATTCAAATTCACCATCTGCTCTGCTGGAGAAGGAACAGGCAATCTCCTCCCTTACAATTTTACTGCCTCTGAAAACCTGCTGGAGGGTTTTCACTGATGAAAACTGGCTATGAGCCAATTCTGACTCAATGGCACATAGAAACAACTACTACTATGAAAAGCTATGTTTTACACACAGAAATATTCCTCAGAGATTATCAGGTGTAGAACAGGAAGGAGGGTAAATCACTTAATATAGAGTAGATGCATATTAACCCACAAAAAGGCAAAGATTATATATAGCAAGGGTGAGGTCAGCAAAATATGATTAAGCAAAGGATAACAATGGGTGGAGTAAAAGAGTTAAAGGTAATAAAGGTATATATTATTACTTACATAGATAATCTTTCAGTAATAGCAGTGAATTACGAGTAGATATATTGACACACAAGGTTTGGGAAGCCAAATGAGTGTACAACCATACACACATACCAAATATATACATATATTTTGACAGAAGATATTTCCACATATGTGTATGTGTATGTGTTTCAAATACATCCATGAAAATATAGAGGGGAAAAGTTACAAAAAAATCTTAGCCATAACTAAGCACCTTGAAGGAATGAGTCTCTGGGTCTGGGGGCTCAAGATGACAGAAGCTGGGGGCAAAAAGTTAACTGGCATGCTACATCCTACTTGGGAGAGGTGCGGCTAGAGTCTTAAATGCCCAAAGGCGTTAAAGTGGAATAGGGGGTATTGCAGAACTTGGTGGATCAAAAGCTTGCCTCGGTGCATTTCTCTTGAGAACTGAAGAGCTCTAAAACTTTGGCTGGAGCAGAACAGTGGTCAAGCTGTGCTGTTCAAGAGTCCAAGGAGCAGAAAAGCAGTTAAAGCAGTTTCCTCAATATCAAAAGATGAGGAGGACAAAGAGGCACAAAGAGGTGAATTAACTTGCCCAAGTATTCATATAGTGAACATGGTGTTGAGACTTAAACCCTGGCAGCCTGGATCCTGAATTTGGGCTGTAATTGTTGCACAAGGCTACCTTTGCATTTTCTGGATAAGTGGAACTGTTGCCAAGAATGCCCTAGAACACTGCTTGCAAGAGCAGACACCTGGAAACAACTCAAACATCCAACAAGGGAATCATTTGATAGACTGACATGTTCATGCCAACGACACGCATGCCAATTTATTCCAGGCAGTTCAAATCCATCTGCTGTGTCACGACAAGAGGATGGGCAATCTCCTCCCATGGAGTTTACTGCCTCTGAAAAGCTGCTATAGGGGCAGCCCTGGGACAGTTCCAATTGATGGTACAACAACAACACTGGCAATGAAAAGGAATAAATTATTGCTGCAAACTGATTAATGACTTCAAAAGACAATGTTGGGTCAATGAAGTCTCAGACTGTATACTGAATGATGTCATTTTAAAGAACTAAAATACAACCAAACTGAAATAATGTGAAACAGAAGCAGTAACATAAATGAGAGAAAACTATTTTCTAAAAAAGACAAAGAGGTAAACACCAACTCTTGGTTGTGTTCTCTAAGAGAAGGTAGGGGACTGGAATGGGGAACGCCCATTGGAATCTGCAAGTTATTGATGACATTCAATCTTGCTGAGTAGTGACTGCACAACATATACAATATAAGCCCGTAATGTTACATGTTGCCAAGTTGACTACAACTCATAGTGAATCCCAGAGCTATTATTTGTGCCCATATGAAACCTGTACATTTATCAAGAGGCAGATTTTCAAACAAAATATGGGATACTGCAGAGTTTAATATCAAGAAAGGTGTGTGTTAGGCTGTATCCTTTCTCCATATATATCCAATATGTAAGCTAAGCAAATAATTCAAGAAAATGGCATATATGAAGAATGTGACATCAGGGTTAGAACAAAAGTAATCAACAATATGCATTATGCAAATGACACAAACTTCTTGCAGAAACTAAAAAAAGCACTTACTGAGACTACCAACTTTAACATGGATTATTACATCTTAACATCAAGAAAACAATTATCTTCAAAAATAGACCAATAGTCAAAATCAGGCTAGATGGATAATAGATTAAAGTTTTCAATGTTTTCATTTGGTTCTATAATCAACACCTACGGTAACAGGAGTCAACAAACCAAAAGATGTGCTGCAGGCGGCAAAGCTGCCATCAAAGATCTTTTCTAAGTGTTATAGAGTAAGGATGTCAATTTAAAGACTAAAGGCATTATTTTCATATATTCAATTCCTTCATAGGCATGTGAAATGTGGATACATAATAAGAAGATCAAAGAATCCTAAATGCCTTTGACTTGTGATACTGGCAAAGGACACTGACTGTCCCATGGACTGCCAAGAGAATAACCAAGTCTGTGCTGGAGGAAGTGCAACCAGGGGCTCCTTAGAGACAAGCACGGAGAGATTTTGTTTCACATACTTTGAGACATTTTCTCAGTAGTATATCATACAGGGGAAAGCTGAGCATTAGTGAAAGGAAAACCTTCTAGGAGATGGCCGTGCTTGGGCATGACAGACTGTAACAATGATGCCGGCGTTAGCATGTCTTCAATCAGATGTGATGTTCAATCAGACGTGATGTTCATAGGGTTGCTAGACATAATATTCAACTCAATGGTACATAATAATTATCTATCAATAAAAATTTATTTTAGTATAATTAAATTTTTAAAAACTCAAATGTACTACAACAAAAGAAAATAGCAATCCATTTTATCATATGAAGAAAAAAAACCACCACCTACTTTGTAAGATAATATTCCAAGAGCAAAAAGGGAAAGCGAAGAAATAAAAGGTATTACTAAATTTGTATGTATTTTCAATTTAAAAAAAAAAACAGTGGGAAGATGCAGTGAATCAGGAATATTTAAGTATGTAAGAAATGATGTTCAACAAGGATACAATTCACAGGCCAGCAGACCTCAGAGAATCCGCACACAAACCCATGGTCAAGTGCCATGCAATCAATCACTGGGTGGCCTAACACAGAGCAGCTTTGGCATCAATGAGAAATGAGATCATAAACAACACTAAGATGAAATAGCTTTCTAAACTCCTTAACACTTACCTTCTACAGGTCCATCAGCAGCTGCTGTTTTATGTTTAGTTTCTTTTTGTGACACCTGTTGGATATTTTCCCTCTGTTGTTTAGTCTGTTGCATAGTATGTGTTTTCCAAAGTTTTCGAAGTTCTTCTACTTCTGTCTCTGAGTCCTGATTTTGCTCCTTTCCCAGTTTCCCTTTATTAATAGTTTGTTTTTGTTTAACTTCTGTTAATTCTCCACAGGGCATATGCTCTTTTTCAGCATCTCCTTGGTGAAGTGAATCCTCAGTAAGAAGAAAATTCTGGACTTCCATACTCGAGCTTTGATCTTTAGTATCTGATATTTCTTGAGAATCACCTATAACCTGATCTTCTTTTGTGGCCATTTCAACATTTAAATCAGTTTTATGAGACAGAGACCCAGGTTCACTGGTAGACTGTCCAGTGTTCGGTTTCAAGTGACCAGCAACGCCACCAGACTCTGATATGCTTGTCACACTTTCTGTTCCAGTCTGACTGACAGTGTGAACAGATTCTGATAACACACCCGAAGACTTAGCTTGCCGTGGTTCATCTGAAGAGATAAGCTCCTCTCGGATCGGAGACAGTTCTGATTCTGTGAACACATCTTCAGAACAAGACTCCTCGGTGCTTCTGGGGGCAGTGCTGGCACTATCGTTTCCTGCATCTCGGACTCTTGAGTCAATTTCATCAATGTTACTTCTTGGCATTTTCTTTAAATGGCAGGAGTCCCTTACTGATAACTGTTCTAACTCTCTGTCAAGTAAGCAAAAAAGAAAAGTTATTAGATTTTTAAAATTATAGTACTTTGTTTCCAAAAAGCATGATTAAGTTTCCTAAAAAATCTTTTCTACAAGAATGGGGTAAATAACTCTTAGTGACAAAAATATGACCTATTCATTTGGACTAAATAGTCTATATCAGCTCTATGAAGTCTGGGAATCATTCTTGTAAGGTTTCCTTTCAGGTAATCTACCTGAGAGAATTTAGGGAAATAAATTATGAGTGATGTTATAATCATATGAAGATGTATTCATTAGCCAAAGTTATAATAAATTTTAAATTTCCTAAAAATGTTTTTCAAATAATTACATTTTTTTCTCATAGAGTGCTTCTTTGCATTCAAAGAGATTAAAGAAAAACATATGGTTTAAACACAAGGTATAAAACCAAACAAATTAAATTGGAGCAAAGTAGTTTCTGTAGAAAAACTTTTGACTACAAGCCACTCTTAATAATTAAGAGAACTTGTTCAAACAAAGAGTTTAAGCTAACCGGTCCATAAGTCACTTAGTTTTCCATGTTTAATGGAATTTTACATTTAATCATTAACTGCCAAAATTTAAGATGGTTAAATTATTGGAAAAAAACGCAAACATATGATGAAATGCACAGAAGTCAACATTTTTTTAAATGACGGTTATATATAAAATGATGTTTATAAACTTAAAAACAGTTTAAGACAAAAAGAAGTTCTAGGAGTTCTTAATGGTGAATATTACAAGTATATGAGCGATAGAAAAGTGTTTAGGAAAAGAAAAACTGGAATGTAAAACAATCTAAAAATAACTAGCTGTCTCTTGGATTGTGAAGGTAGAAATTCTTATCCTCTTCCTCTATTTTTAGTATTTTTCATATTTCCTATCACCCGCATGTGTACTTTTTATATCTAGGAAAAGTAAAATGAATTTATTTAAATGATTTAATTAGTTAGAAAAAAATTCTTTCTTCTGGCTCATTTGAGTCCAAATTTATTTTAGGAAACAGAAATATCTGAATTATACTATTAAATATGCCGCAGTGTCATCTACTGGTGATTCACTCAATGTGCATGTACAAGGGCTTGGGACGTGGGAAAAGTGTGCAGAAACTGTACCAAACATACTTTCCTAATAAAACAGTGAAGAAAAAAAATCGAGTTAACAACCCTTTAAAGGATGTAAGTGGCATAGTGTTCAGCGTGAACATTCTGAAGGGTCAAATGCTGATAGTGCTCATGATACTGCAACTTCTTATCTTTGAAACAAACGTCCCCAGGAGCAGGAAAGAAAACCAGAAGACCTACTTATTCTTGCCATACATCACACTACTCTATAAAAGCACTTGATTTTTTTCCCACCTGATTTAGTGCTAAGCATTTGTTTCTATTACACAAGAGGCAAAACTTAAAGATATTTTTACTTTGAGGACTTTAAAAAAAATATATATTTTACAAAATTTAAAAAAAACATATTTATTTGGTGGTCTTTCTAGGTAACATTCTGAATGATAAAACCCTCATTTCCAAGTGGAGTTCTACAGTGTCCAGAATAGTTGTTGATGATTTATCATAAAAGAACCCAAAGGACCACATGACAAATGGGAAAATAAGTCAAGGGAGAGTCAATCTCACCAATCTCACCACCACCACCATCACCCACCACTGTCTCTTTCAGTTGAACCATCATTTCTCCACTTATTCTTAATAATCCAAATTGGCTGAAAATAATGCTGATCTACAAAAACAGGTTAATAGCTGATATGAGGACACTTCCTTGGAACTGTATGTACTTTTAAAGATCAGTTTACCAACTAGAGCTACTTTTTAGTAAGAGATTTTAGCTTACTTTAGGTACCCTAACCACTCATGTGGTCAGCTTTAGGGGGAACCTTTTGTAATTGGTACTAGACCTCAAGAGTTGGTTTAAAACCAAGTAGCCATCATCCATCATCATTCCTGTGGGCTAATTTATGGATATAATTACAATGAGCAATTATAGACAAGGCAGTTTCTAAACTGCTGGGAGTCATGTGTGGAAGGATGAGGCAATTAATTTACATTTCTTTCTACTTCTCCTTCCTGTCTTTTCTTGTAAACATTTTTTTCCCTCCTTTTATTTCTCATTCCTTCCTTTCCTCACTGGCCATTACAAGCTGTTCTGGGCCTAGGATTGTCAGGTCTTCCCTCATGTCGTCTTACTTGTATCTCAGACACAAGTCTTCAGGCATTTCCAAGGAAAAACGTAACATTACCCTTGACAATGAAAATTCACTGAAGTAATTTCAAATTCTGGATGGTGTGCTCAAATAAAAAGTGCAAATATAGTGAATTAAATGAGATATAAAGATTTCCTTTCACATATGTGGTTCTATAAACAAAACACAAAAATTAATCTAAACACAATTCCTTGCTCTTCTAGGTACATTAAGACAAGTGTTTTCCGTATTATATATACAGATATTTTTTACATACATATTTTTGTTTCAGAATTGTTAAAATGAAAAGCAGCTACAGCAAAAGGAATAAAAAGCATTTAAGTGTTTCAATCCAGGGTCACTTATCTAGACGCAACAAAACTGCAAAGCAGCATATCTAGCTCTCTTACATGGGTAATGACTCCTTTATTTTGCTATCCAGTATTTCTCTGTACATTGCAGCTGACATCACCTCTTCCATTGGACACATGATGCCATATTCCTCACAGCCATTCTCTTGAACCAAGGGGTCAGTTTTATGTGGATCAAACATTATATTATTTGGTGTAACTAGCAGCACACCACTTACTGTGCCCTAAGATGAAAAAGAAAATAATGTTTAATCTTCAAAGTTTAAATTTTCAATAACTTATTTTAGCTACTTACTGTCTTCTGTTGCCAGGACACATATTATATATAAAACCACATGTAAGTACTATGGTACTCTCATGAAAATGTTTTCAAATACAATCCAAACTTTTCTTTCTCCAAAGCAGAACACAAAGAATATCATATCTGTCCTAAAATGGTCAAGACTATTGAAATTTGAAGTCTCAGGAAAACACTGAGTTATATTAGGTAGATAGTTTCCGCAAAACAAGGGATTGTAAGAAATCCTCTGTTTTGTTGAAACTCAAAAACCGCAGATTCACTGGTGTCAAGTTGGGTGAACTCACAGCAACCCTCTATCCAGTTGCTGAGGTGTAAGCATAAAGGGAAAAGACTTCCCATCTTCATCCCATAGCAAGGTAGTAGCTTCAGCTTTTTCACTTTATTTGTATAATACTCCCTGTGTTATTCTTTATGATGTGCAAAAATACAGTTTCATGCATACAGTATTCAAAGCTCAGGGAGTTCATGCTTTTTGTACTATAATCTTCTCCCCATTAATACCACAAACTATAATCTTTCTTGATCCCATTTTGAAAGCCTCAATCCACTATATTCTGTAAGAGTAAGCCAGACACACTTAAAAAAAATCATCAAATAGTTACCACAAAATATGCTATCCTTTTTATGAAGCCAGTGAAGAAAAGAAAATTTGAAATCCTCTTTGATTTGACATAACAGCCTTCTGCTAGGTCTATAAGGTACTCTGATTTTATCTAGTTTCATATCATTTCTAATTCAAAATACCTCTTTAACATTAAAAAATCATTTTTGTTGAGAATATATACCCCAGAGTGAACACCAATGCAACAATTCTGCAATTCCATAATGCTGATTATATTTTTTAAATTGTGTAACTTTCTTACTTTTCTTTTCTAAACTGTTCCTCCCATTAACATAAAACGTACTACGTTCCTATCTGTATTTCAAATTACTATTGAAAATTTGATCCTATAGAGTTCTTTAAATATTTAATTGTTCAAAGCACACATTCTTCATAATTTAAACTACCCTTTATTTTTAAAGGAGATTTAAAGAGCCACTTTTGGTTACATTAGAGTAGAACTACTCCCATAGAGTTTCTAGGCTGAAATCTGGAAGCAGACTGCCACTTTTTTTTCTACTAGGAATGGTGAGTAGTTTAAAATGCCAACCTTCTGCTCACTTCTGATTGTTAGTAGCTAAGCCATCAGAGCTCCAAGAACTACTAACTGGCCCAGCAATTCTATTGTTAAGAATATACTCAAGATATGAAAAGAAGCAGGGTGAAGAGACACAAATAATCCAAATTCATTGCATATTTTTTCCACAATAGCCAAAGTAGAATAAATCTAAATAGACTTTAACAACAGAGCTCTTGTGGCCTAGTGGTAAGAAGCTACAGTGTCATCCCAAAGGCTTGTGGTTCAAATTCAACAGCTGCCACAGGAGAAGGATGGACAATCTCCTCCCCTGTGACTTACTGCCTCTAAAAGCTACTATGAGTCAGCTATGAGTAGTTTCTGACCTGTTGGCCCACAACAACAATAACTCATAAACAGATAAACAGGGGAATACAATGTGTTACAAGCATACAATAAAATACTCCTCAGTCAGAAAGAGAAATGAAATTTTTATACATCCTACAACATGGATGGAGCTTGAAGACATTATGCTGAATAAATTAAGGGAAAAAAATAACCCCACACAAAACAATGCATGACTTCACTTATGTCAAAAGATAATAAGAGATAAAAGTAGAAAAATGAGTATTTCTTAATAGTTATCAGGGGAGGAAGAAGTAGAAAATGTAAGATTACTGCTTATGGAATACTGAGTTAATATATTAAGTGTAATTAATGCAATTACTGATTAATATAATTGTCAGCAAATTGTACTGCTATAAAAAGTTGAATTGGAAAAAACTTTTCAACAGACATCTTTACTTGACTGAATTTTAAGAGCATAAGACATTAAATTATCAAACATAACCTTTAAGAATGATCAAGTAGAAAAGTGAAAGAGGAATTTGTATCACATTGGTCATTTATTTGCAAAATGAGGCAAAGTATTATAAATATAAAAGGTAAACTTGGTTATCATTTACAAATTAATAGCTCTCACCTAATAGAAGAGAAAATAAATGTGTATGTATGTTCCTTTTTATCAGGGAATGACAATCAACGTGAACTCCTTAACAGCACCTTTTCAATATAGAGTACAGACCACCTCAATAAGGAATAACCTTACATAAATCAGTCTCTATCTTCCTAATATTTTAGTTTCATATACATCAACATTAGTTTGTATTCCTGCTTAAGTCAACAGGAGACAGTAAAGTGTGTTGCAGAATGCTGTCAACAGATAATCCAAGTAACAGACAACTAAGAGTAAATTACATACAATATGTTGTTGTTGTGTACAGGTCAGTTGTAAATGACCCACAGCTGATCCTCCAGCAGGTTTTCAGAGGTAGTTAATCACATGGGAGGAGACTGCCCATTCTTTCCTCCTGGAACAGCTGGTGGCCTTGAACCACATGCCTTAGAGATTGCAGCCAGCTTCTTGGCTCTAGGCCACCAGAGTTCATACAATATAGAAAAGCTTAACGATTTCTAATCATGAATACTTTCTTCTACCCCATGTTCTATAAATCCAAGGAATTTGTGAACTAAAATAAAACAGAAATAAGAAAAGCAAGCTCCAAATCCTCTGAGATAAGGCTATTTATTATTTATGATTTTGTAATTTTCACTGAAGTATTAGTTTAAAATGAATTTCTTATTTTTGGTACACTATTACAATATACCCTTATCTTCTAGGGAACTCTGGTGGCCTAGTGGTAAGAAGCTGTGCTGAAATCCTAAAGGTACACAGTTAAAATTCACCAGACGCTCCATGGGAGAAAGATGAACAATCTCCTTTGCAATTAACTGTCTTGGAAAACTTGCCATAGGGTCAGCTATGGTTCTAACAAATGGTTCTGTTGCAATGGTATACAACAACAACAACATCATAACATTAGTAGTGACCTAGTAGCAAGAAGTTGTACTGCAATCCCCGCTGTCTGTATTCACCAGCTGCTCCGTGGGAGAAGGAGGGGCAATCTCCTCCCATGAGATTTACTGCCTCGAAGATCCACTGGAAGGTCAGCTATGAGTCAGTTCTGACTCAGGGTCACACAACAACTTCATGACACTGGAGGGAGTACTGGAGGCCTAGGGAAGAAGCTGTACTAAAATCCCAAAGGCACACAGTTCAAATCCACCAGCTGCTCCACGGAAGAGCAATGGAGAATCTCCTCCCATGTGTTTACTGCCTCTGAGGAACCACCGGAGGGTCAGCTATGACCAACTCAATGGTACAAAACAACAACAGTCTTAGCAATACTGCACAGCGTTAACTTGTGGAAATTTACACAAAGGCTATGATTACCTATGTATGACTGAAAATGCTTAGCTGTAAAAATGCTTTTAACTCTCCAAATACATTATTAATAGTAGTGTAACTACATAAAATGGAGCTCTGTGTAACTATAAACTTACTTGAAAAAGTTCTCTGGGATAGATTGGATTTAGGACCCTTCTAACTTCATATGAGAATGCCAGTCTCCTAACAGCACTTTTCAGAAATCCATCTCCAGTCACCCTATTACCGAAAATATCCACTCACATCTCTCTCAGGTGTCCTTTCTCACAGAATGAAACATAGTTTCTCCACACAAGGTTTTTGGAAATGGTCTAATAGATGCCACTCTTCACAGAGCCAAAGAGATGCCCATAAGAAACATTCCTGCCACATAAAATTAGGCCAAAAACTCTTCAGAAATCAATATCAAGTATCTCTTTTTGGTGTTAATCATTTCAAATCCTTAATTAATTAATATCACTTAACTGTGTATGTTAAAACTTATTTAAATGACAAATATTTTGTTGCCTATATATTTACCATGATTTATAAGAAAAAGGGGGGGCATTTTTAAAGCAAACATGGTAACAATAGATTTAGGAGATTCTTAAATTTGCAGTAGTAAAAGGAGTAAGTAGTAGCACAAAAGCTGGGAAGAGACATGGAAACACACTAAGATTCTTTCTTTACATGTGAATTGGTACAATAGTACCTAAGGTTAGACTGATACATTAAAAATATTTACTATAAATGCCTCACTAATGACTAAAATAAACGAAAAAAAAAATTCATTGCCATTAACTCAGAATTGACTCAGAGCTGACCCTCAACTCAGTTTTCAAAAAAGAACCAAACTCATTTCTTTGAGTCAGAATCAACTCCTAGCTAATCCTCCAGTAGGTTTTCAGAGGCTGTAAATCACAAAGTACACTGTTACTCTTCCTCCTATGGAGCAGCTAGTAGATTCCAATCACCTGCCTTTCAGTTGCCAATGCAACTCCTTACCCACTCGACCACCAGACCTCCCCTAACAGTAAAATGACAAGGTGTTACTGCTAATAAGCCAACAAAGTAAATTAAATGATAAAAATTATTCAGCACAAAAGAGGTATTTTTTTAAAAAGGAAACAAGAATCAAATAGCAAAATTATTGATTTATACCAATAATCACATTAAATGGTAGAAATGATCTATGGAAGCTAGATCTAAGTACATATGGCCTACAAGAAAACCACTTTAAATGTAGACATCTATGGATTAAAAGTAACAGAACTGGGGGAAAGTTCTATGTTAATACTAATAAAAAAAGAGAACACAAGTATTAGAAACTTCCCAAGTTTCACAGCAACGAACATTGTCAGGAATAAAGAGTGTCCTCGGTAACGGAAAGAAGCCCTGGTGGTACAGTCAGTGGGTTAAGAGAAGGCTGCTAAACAAAGAGCCAGCAGCTTGCACTGACCAGCCATTCTGCAGGAGAACGATGAGGCAGTGTGTGTACTTGTGTTGCAGTCTTCGAAATTTTATAGTGCAGAACAGGCCCAATGTGCTACAGGTTCATTCTTAGTCAGAACTGACTTGATGGCTTTAAGTTTGGGGGGTTTTCAGGGGAGTAAGAGGATTCTTAATGCCAGATCAAGTCATCAAGAGGAAACATATAAAGAACAATAATTATCATCCAACTTGACATAAGTGATATTTGTAGACTATCCCACCCAATGACAGCAGAATACACATTCTTCTCAAGTGCACAAGATAGAATGTATTCTGGACTAAGACAAATCTCCATAACTTAAGCATGTTCTCTGTCTACAAGAATCAAATTAGAACTTAACAGAAAGTTATATTGAAAATCCACAAATATTTGGAAACAACATTCTTAAATATTTTATGGATGAAATGAGAAACTATTATGAACTGAATGAAAATTAAAATTAAAACACAGTATATCAATTTTTACATAGCAAAGTTAAAGTAATATATAGCTAAAAAATCTAAAATAAAATACTTATGCTACAAAGCTTTTATTTATGAATTATGACCATAAAAGTTTATTATGTGACTTTTGAGGTTAGTATCCTATTACATAATAGTCACTTTCTAAGCAATATTTGTATTTTTTTCTAGTCTTGTGGTTTATACTATATTCTCTCTTTGAAGACTAGAAGATTTTGCAGAAGAAAAGCAGTAAGGCTTGATAGAAAAAGATTAACTCAAATTAGATTTGAATTCTGACCATAATAAACAAACTGGATCTAGTAATGTTTTTTAATTTCATTTTTTCTTCTCCTATGAAAAAACAGGACTAAATATCTCAAAGGGCTATTATGAATTGGTAAGATTAAAACTTCTGTAGTAAAAACCACCACCACCACCACCACCACCACCACCACCACCACAACAAAACAACAAAACTTCCCATTGTATCTGAATTGTACTGGGTACTCAATGCTTCCCTTCCTATTAATTTCTTCTATTAAGCTTTTCAGAGATAGCAGTTTTTAAAGTGCCTAATAGTAATAAATTTTTTTTCCTTTTTTAAAAATTTTACTCTGATTTATTTACAAAATCTGAATACACTGTTTTTCACAAAACATCCTTCTCACTCCCTTCACCTCACCCACCCATCGAATTGTGAAACCCTATGATTAAGACCCTCCCCCTACTCCTTACTCCTCTATTTCCACCCTCCTGCATGCCCCCATTTTGGATCCTCATACTCATTCTACAATAATGGTTTTATACAGTATCTGTCCTTGTGGGACTAAGTTAGTTCACTCAGCTCCCCCAGTCCCTCCCAAGTTAGGTAGTAATTTACAAAACCATTGTCCCTGCGTGCTGTGTATTATTCCATTATATGAGTGTACTACAACTTCTCAATCCATTCATTTGTGGTTGGACATCTGGGCTGTTTCCATGTTCTTGCATGAATGGTGAATAATGGTGATATGAACACTGGTGTACAAGTTTCCATTTGAGCCTCTGTTCTCATTTTTGGGGTTATATTCCAAGCAATGGAATAGCTGGGTCATACGGAATTTCTATGTTCAGCTTTTTGAGGAAGCACCAAACTGCCTTCCAGAGAGGTTATATCATTGTACAATCCCACCGACAGTGTAAAAAAGTTCCTATCTCACCACATCATCTCCAACATTTATTACTTGCTATCCTGTTAAACTTTGCCACTGCTACTGAAGTAACAGTATCTGTTAATAGCAAATTGTCCGAGTACTACTGTAACTTTATATCCGCCGTAACGCCATTTGTAAAATAGGAGACCAGACTGGAAATTGTGAGCAAGATCTACACTAACAGCATCCCCAATCTTGTTTTAAATAGTCATGTATTTGATGATGTGGATATGTAAAAATGTAAAACTATCTTATTATTAAGAAAGGTTAATTAAACATTTTTCTCTAAAGAATAATTCATTACCTTGTTACAAGTAATGTATTTGCAATTAATTTTAAGAAACTTTTCAGTAAATGCTTCTTCCTCCTCAGAAGTTGAAGATACAACTCGTGCAGGTCGAATACCTGTAAAAGCAGATGAAGAAGTTGCTTCTGTCTGGTGGGTTATATCAGGAGTCTATAAAAAACAAAACAAAAATCATAAAAGGCATCTTAGACAAGGAAATTAAAAAAGCACACTACTAAATTCAAATTAATTACTTTCTACTGTAAGTATTGTTCCTTTTCACTGCACTATGTAATTTAGTCTTTATATGTAAATATTTTTGAAAAACTACATTTTTTTCTTACATCATAAAATTATAGGAAAGGATGGTACTGTTTTCGAATTCACTAAAGTTCTCGAGAATAGCTTAAACTTACATCTTCAGTGGTTTTTCAATGTTGTTATGTGCCATCACATCAAGTACAACTCATAGCGACTATATTAATTAACAGACCTGAACCCCGTCCTATCCTGTGCCAGCCTCATCATCTCTGACATACTTAAGCCCATTGCTGCAGGCACTGTGTCAAACCATCTCACTGAGGGTCTTCCTTTCTTTCTCGATGAAAGCAGACTTGTCCAGAACATAAAAAACTGTTTTCAAGGTATTTCTCCGAGAGCTGGACAATAAATAAGGATGCCAGAAGAATAATTTATGTCTTTCAGTTGTGGTGTTGGAGAATAGTACTGAATATCCTGAGGACTGCCAAAAGAACACATAAGTATGTATGTCTTGGAGAAAGTGCAGCCAGAGTTCTTGGAGGCAAGGATTGATGAAGCGTCATCCCACATAATTTAGGTATGTTGCTAAGAGGGGCTATTCCTTAGGGAGGGACATCATGCTTGGAAAGGTGAAAGATCTGTGAAAGGGTGAAAGATTCTTGATGAGGTGACACAGCGACTGCAGCAATGGACTCAAGTGTGTAAGAAAGTGTGAAGATAGCACAGGATAGGACAGAGTTCCGATCTGTTGTTCATAAGGTCGCTACGAGTCACGTTTCACTTGATGACACCTAAAAAGAAGCCTCACATATTTCTTACTTGTGGATAACATATTATGGCTAATATTGAGAAAAATGGGAATCCCAGAACACATAATTGTCTTCACATGAAATTTAGATATAGATCAAACAACATAAGCAAACAGTACATGTTTTAAAATCATAAAAAGTAATAATTTACAAAAAAATTATTTTGTAAATTATTACATAACTTGTGAGGGACTGGAGAGCATTATGCTGGGTGAACTAACTCAGTCCCACAAAGAAAATATTGTATAAAACCATTACTGTGGAATGATATAAGGATCCAAGAGGGGTGGGAGAGAGTAGAAGCAGAGGGATGAGGATACGCAGGGAAAGAGGGGATTAATCATGGGGTTGTACAATTTGATGAGGGTGGAGTGAGGGAAATTGAAAGAATTTGTTCTTAAAAACAATGTATTCGGATTTTGTAAATAAACGAGTAGGGGGAAAAAAATCAGAAAAAGCATACATCAGGATTAAATACTTTCTCCATACCTATAAGCTATAAGCTGAGTAAATAATTTGCAAAGTTTGATATATGAAAGATGTAGCATCAAGACTGGAGGCAGCAATTGTGTTAGAAAGATGAAAAACCTTGCTTGCTGAAAGTAAACAGGGCTGAAAAGCACGCTGCACAAGAACAAAGACTACAGCCTTCCATATAGATTAGATCACAATATCAAAAAGATAAAAATCCTCACCACCGGACCAATAGGCAACGCCATGACAGATGTAGGCAAGGCTGAAATTGTCAATGATTTCATTATACTTGAATCAACAATCAACACCGATGGTAAGACCAATAATATAACCGAAATAACACCAATGGTGAAGAAATCAAAAGATGGTCTACATTGCGAAAATCTGCTCTCCAGGACTGCTCTAAAGTGCTAAAGAGCACAAGAGTGTCCATTTAAAGACTTAGGTGTGTCCAATCCAAGTCAAGGTCTTTTCCATTGTTTCCTATGCATCTGGAAGTTAGACATTGAATCAGGAGGATAGAAGAAGCAGCTATGCTTTTGAATTGTGGTGTTGGAGAAGAATATGGATTATCTCATGAAATGCCAAAAGAACAAACAGGTCTGTCTTAGAGGAAGTACAGCCAGGGCCCCTCAGAAGCAAGGATGGTGAGACTGCATCTCATCTATTTTGGGTCTATTGTTAGGAGCCAATCCTTAGGAAAAGGCATCATGCTGGAAAGTTTTCACACAAAGGGTGAAAACCCTCAATAGCTCAGAGACAGAGAGAGTGTAACAATGAACTGGAGCGTATCGGAGACAGTGTGAATGGAGTAGTATTTGACAAGGTTTAGATCTGCTGTCCATAAGGTTGCTAGGATCTGTAGTCACCTTGAGGACAGTTAACAAAAACATCCACTAAAACATATCTTTCTCTTTCACACAGACAACTCTTGTTCTGGAAAAGAACCACTGTTTATATCAACTAATATTTCTCAGGGGTTGATCTCAGGGGTTGAGAGTAGAGGAGAGAAGCTTTTCTAAGGTACCCTAGTATATTGCTACAGAGACTTAATACCATTCCACATCTATCTAGTTTAGAGGTTCTTGACATTTTTGATGCTAAGGACCATTTTCACACTAAGCTTATGGAAGTTCTTCTCAAAATGTTTTAATGAAAAAAAAAAAAAAGCCCTACAGAATATTAAAAGAAAACCCCAAACCTATGACACTGAAATATAACTATCAAAATATTTTTAAAAGCACATATATTAATACATAAATAACAAGAAGTAGTGATGCCTCAATGAGTTATAATTTTCAAGTAATGATGACCATAAATACTTTGTGCTACATAAAGCAACTTTAAAATTATTTTAAAATATCTGTGCATTTTTAGGGCTCTCTCGTGGTCTTGTAGTAAGAATCTGCACTGCAATCCTGAAGGTCCACAATCTGAATCTACTAGCTGCTCTACATGAGAAGGACTGGCAACCCCCTCCTCCTGTGCCATTACTGCCTCTGAAAACCTGCCGGACGGTCAGCTATGGGTTGGTTCCAACTCTGCATATAACAACAACAAATGCACAAGTGTATGCTGTAATAATACTAGTCTAGTTTGCTGTTTAAATACCCAAGAAAATTCTATATTGAAAGAAATATTAGATGTCATCCAAAAGTTAGTGAAAATAAATTTTTTTTTCACATTCAAGCTCATTTAAAAACTCATTGGTCAAAACTGAGCCTCCAGCAAGTTTTTGGAAACTAAAACTCACAGGAGAGAGCTCTGGTGGCCTAGTGGTAAAGGGTTGCACTACCAATCTAAAGGCACGCAGCCTGAATCCACCAGCTGCTCCACAGGAGAAAGATAGGCAATTTCCTCCTATATGATTTACTGCCTCTGAAAACCCACTGTAGGGACTCTGTGCATCGATTACAATTCAATGATACATGACGGTAACAATAACAAATCTCACGGGAGGCGACTGGCTGTCCTGTTGGAGTGTCTGGTCAATTCAGACCGCCAGAGAGGAACGACATTTGGGTTAGTAGCACAACTCCATATAGCCACCAGAGATCTCATTCAAGTCCACTGACCACCTAAAGGCTAACTATAGTCTCCCGCCCACTCAACAGTCCAGTAAGTGCAGGGAGGCTAGACAGATTCCTGTCAGCTTTTGGTTTAATGTTTCCCAAAGGTGCTTCTTCTTTTTTTTTTTTTTTTGAGGCACTTCATTTTTATGAATACATCAGACTAGTTTTCACAGTAGCAAGATTCTGCTGAGATTTGAACTACACAATCTGCTGCTCTGGAGTATCTATTTAAAACCAAGTTCTGACTCTCATACAGTGTTGTGAGGACTGTAAAATGGCACTAAGAAAGTACTTTGGCACTTCCTTAAAAAGTTAAGAATAAAAATACCATTTTATCCAGCAACATCACTACTAGGTTATAGCCTGAAACATACAACCTATGTTTACTGTAGTATAATGGCAAAGACCAGCGAAAAAAGGGTGTCAAACAATGACTAACTGGCTAAAAGAACTATGATACAATCACATGATGTATAATTTAAAAAAGATTAAAAATAGTGAAATACTGCAAAACATGGATGAATCTAGAGCAAACTATGTTGAGCAGTCAGTCATAAAATGGCAAATATGGTGTAAGTCCACTAATAAAAAAAGCTAAGTAAATGATTACACACAGATTCAACCTTGAATACTTAACAGTGATCACAAGAGAGGTGAGGAAAGTAAGAATTAGTGAACAGAAAAGTTGGTAAAGGGAAAATCAGTACTAATATGAGTTGGATTAGATAATGCAATAAATTGCATTAATTTTACTAAATGTTGCTGTGTACCATAGAGTTGGAACTGACCAATACCTGTCCCTCTGGTGGGTTTTCAGAGGCAGTTAATCAAACAAGAGATTGCCCATACTTCGGGGATTTGAACCGCATGCTTTTGGAATTGCAGTGCAGCTATTTTCCACTAGGTCGCAGAGCTAAATGATTAAATTAAATTTATACAAACAGGTTTCTGTAACTTGTAAGATTTATCAACTTTCACGGAAATAAAAATTAAAAAAAACCATTCTGATTTGGACTTTTGAAATAATAAAAGCCATCTCTTTAAATTTCACAGACTCAAATTAATTGGAAAAAAAAAGGCTATGAATCATAGCTCTTCTATTCTGAAAGTGGTTCTATATTAGGGCATGACTTTAAAAGTTACAAATTTCAATTTAAGAAGTTCTCGTGGGGAGGAAATTGCTTTCAACTCAAAAATGCTTGGTTTGAAACCATCAGTGGCTTTGCGGGAGAAAAATGGTAATCTCCTCCTATATGATGCACAGCCTCTGAAAATCCGCTCGAGGGTCAGCTCCGCATTGCTTTCAATAAGAGCAGTGAATTTAGCTGGTCTATAAATTTCACATGTCTCTACTAAAATGTAGGTTTAAATCCTTGGAATAGTGGCAACTATACCCACGACCGGACACTACAAATAATTTAATATACTATAATTAGACTTTTTAAAATGAAATGGAATTAGATTTTAAGAAGTATATTACATTATTCAGTCAATTTTAACTAATCAAGTGTTCTGTAATATTTCCTTTCTGTTATTCATAAAAAGTTTTAAAACAAATCTGTCTCAGAGGAATACAACCAAAGTGCTCTTAGAAGCAAGGACTGTGAAACTCGAACTCACATATTCTGGTATATGGTCAGAAGAGGCCAGTCATTGACAAGGACACCATGCTGGATGGGAAAGGCGGAGGGTAAGTGAAAAGATAAAAAGACTCTCAAGGCGATGGACTGACACAATGACTCTATCAAAGGCCTTGAGCATGACTGAGCTCCAGAGGATGGTGTAGGATAGAGCAAGGTTTCAATCTCGTTCACAGGGTTACTATTACACAGTCAACTAGACAACATCTATCATCTTCTTTTTATGTCTCCTGGATCATTCAAGACTTTACTCATGGCATCTCTCAGGATTGCAACGTAAGGTTGACAATGTTTTTCAGTTCTTTCAGTATAAGGACTGCCGAGCGAGTTATTCCTTTTTTCTTCTCAGATTCCAGCTCTCACTTTGCTGTGTGTCTTCTCATGCTGCTCTTTGAAATCTTCTGTGTAGCTCTTTAGCATCTCTTCCCTATGTTTTGGCTTCTCGACACTCTGACACAATTTTCATAGTTTCTTCTGACATCCTTCTTGGCTTTTTCTTTTTCCTCTGTCTCTCTGTAATGACCCTGTGATCTGTTCATGAATGATATCCTTGATTTCATGCCACAGTTCTGTGGTCACTGGTGATCAATGTTTCAGATCTGCTGTAAGATGATTTTTTAATTCAGGTAAGATAGACTCAAGATCTTATTTTGATTCTTGTGGATTTGTTCTTATCATCTTCAGTCTCGATTTGAACTTGCATGTGATTAATTGATGGTCTGTTCCACAGTCAGCTTCTGACCTGGTTCTGCCTCCTGATATTGATCTTCTCCAACGATTCTTTCTAATCTGATTACTGAACAGACCATTAGGTGAGGTCCCTGCGGAAAGCCACCTTTTGTGTTTCTTTAAAAAAGGTGTGTGCTTGCACTGAAGAACAAGGAACTCATGTAATATTATTCAAAATGGGTGACCCTGGAGGACATTATGCTGAGTGAGGTATCTCAGTCACAAAGGGACAAATGCTATATGGTGCCACT